AAGCCCAGTCAAGGTTCAGGGCTCCACCACGCTAGGTGCTGTGCAAGCAGAGGCAGGCTGAAATCCCAGACCTTGCTGAAACCCAGGGGGGAAAAAAAAAAAAAAAAAAAAAAAGAAAAGTCTTTCCAAGTTCAAGGTTTTTATTCCAGGTCCTGCCTAGGGCAAGCCGATAACAAAATCATCCTGTCACCTGGCGCTCAGATGTCTGTGATCCTGCACGGGCTCGCTGCGGTGCGCGCTGTGCTCGCTAGTAAGAGCTTGCAAAACCAGAGTTTATCCTGAGCCTTTATTAAAAAGGGAAGGTGGGGGGGAAAAAAAAAAGAAAGGGAGAAAAGAAGGAAAAGCAGAGCGCCCAAGTTCCTCATGCGGGAATACTAATGCACGTACTATTTCTAGAACGTGCAAGTCCTCTGCTCATTCACGGGAGTCAGCCTGGTGTGATAAGAGTTCCACCCACGTTGCCTCCGCCTGATTGAGACTATCAAGACGGCGTCGGGAAGCACCCCGTGCGATCTGCCGTTACATAACGCAGCCCAGCTCCCCAGAACTGGCACAGTTCTGGAATTTGTGTTTGGTCCTAATGTTCTGTACCGAGCTGGCAAGTGAGATTCCTGCTCTGAGTGAGTGACAGTTGGAGCTTCGAAGCGGGAACATTTGCCCACCAAAGTTGCTGAACTCACCCACTGCCAAGTCTGTCGCTAGAGCAGCAGATAGGCAGGGACAGCAGTACGTGGCATGGACTGTGTCACGCTCCTCTGCGCCTTCAGGTCCCAGTCCTGTGCGGGAGGACCGTGTGCCTGCCTGGGAGGTGGAAGAAGGCCACACTTCTCAATTTTAGGCAGTTTTATGTACCTTTCTACAGCGACCTTTTAAGTGTCGCACATGCCTGAGCGGAAGGAGGATCACATTGTTTCTCAGGCAGAGAGCTGAGGCGTGAGGAAAGGGACAGATACATTTTGGCGGATTTAAATCTTAGAGCAGTTTTTGGAACATTAATGTTCTCACCTGGGCACTCTGTCCTGCTGCTGCAGGTTACTGGCACTGCCCTGGGACAGGGATGGGTGCCCGCCTCTGCTCTCAGCAGCTCCAGGGCATGAGCTGGTGCCTTGAGGCTCTGGTTTACATGGGACAGATTGAGGCAGGACAGGCACTCAGCTCATGAGGCAGATCTTTCCCTGGCGTTGGCTTCCCCTTGTAGGCAGCCTGAAAACCACCACAGCCCTGATTTCAGTGTGTGCCTCAGTTTGCCCACACGCTGCTGCGGAGGTGTGGGGCCACGTTTCCTCCAGCTGACTTTGCTCTGGGGCTGGGAGTCCATAGCCAAAGAGCAGCTGATAACATGGCCAGGGGCAACAGCAGCTCCAACTGCTGCAGTAGGACTGCAGGGCATCCTCTGTGGCTTGGGCAAAGAACGGCTGGGGAGGTGCAGGAGGTGACACAGGTTTGCGTCGATCCTCAGAACGTGATCGCTGGATCATCTTCTGTGCTGGCCTGGCTTTGTTTTCACCTGCTTTTCCGATCTGCCAGCGTTTCTGGGTGTTAGCAGTCAGCATCTGGGTGTTTCTCACTGTGTTTACCTGCCACCCAGGCTATGCTGGGTTCATCAGTATAACCCCCAAGTGTCCTTGGTGTGTAAGAGCGGCAGGCAGGGCTAGAGGTGCTCGGGGTGTCGCAGAGGTGCCGTGGGGGTGGAAGTGGGGAGCAGAGGGGACGATGCAGGAGGTGCAGGTTGTGGGGTGCAGCGGGGCAGTGGTGGTGTGCGCCGCCCTTGCTCCACAGCTCTCCCGGGGTGCTCCCACTCCCAGCTGGCCCTGCCTTTCCCGCCGGGGCCAGCTCGGAGTCAGGTCACCCCCCTGCCCCCGGACGCGCCACAGAAAGTCCCCGTGGGACTGACCCTGCCGTCATCACCAGCCTCGCCGGCAGCGCTGGGGGCCATCCGAGCCCCCCTTGTCCGAGCCCAGGGCACTGGCAGGGGTCCCTGGCAGGGGGTCCTGTGTTTCTTAGGGGCGGGGGCGGCCCAGTCCTGCGGCTGGAGGTGGCCCTGAATCCTCCCCATGGCGAAGGCAGCGGCCGGCGCTGGGGCTGAGCTGTGGCAAACTCCCTCGCAAGAGCTGTTTGTTGACCACATTCACGTTCAGAGCCCTGAAGCTAAAAGCACTTTACACCATAAAATAAAAGCACTGTCTTTTTTTCTAAAAGGTTACGTCTGGAGGCCACGCTGCTCATACTTCATACAGAAAACTACTGAAAGGGCTATGAAATCCTCTATGATTTACACTCCCTCTCAGTGCATTAGGATATAGATCTACTCGACTCTGAAAATACTGTGGAGTTCCTAACCGACGTGAATATATGTGCATTATTTCAGAAAGTCTGTTAGAAAACTTGTCAACACATTATAAAGCATAAACCAGGACTTGGCCATTAAATACAGAGATCAGAGACAGAATGTATACGGCAGGAAGTACCGAGAAAAGTCCCTCCATTCAAAAAAAAAAGTCTATTAGCTAAAAGTTTACACACAATATACACCAAAAGGTTTAGAGAGAGCCCGTGGACCGCAATTACGAGGCATAAATAGAATCAGTAAGGGCTTTACAGTCCCCAGTACAGTTAACTGGGCTGCCAGAAAATAATTTTAATATTGTCATAATTTATTACCCACCGAAAGCCACATCAAGGACTGTAAATATAGTCACTTTGTGCCCACGACTGCTCGTTAAAGAGCCTCGTTCCCTTCCCCTAAAAATACAGTGAAATAAAAAACCCACCTGCATTATTAATCTGTGGTCATGCCGTGTTAAAAATGTCTTCTCACTCCTTTTCTTTCTTGAGGTTTGTTATCTCCCTCCAATCACATGACAATGCGAAGCGCTGGGAGGGGGGGGAGACAGGAACGAGGGGGAGCCCAGCACTATTGCGATCAAATGCTAATATTAATAATTATCCAGCCAGGATGAAATATTATTTTTAAGGCAGCGAGTTTCCATTTAATTCGAGGCATTTTTACGGTGCTGGAATTAAGGGCATGCTGATGGTACGAACATCCTCGCTGCCATTCATGAAAGCATCTGTAAAATTAGCTCCTGACTGTAGGTTTTGAGATGCGGTCTGGGAAGTCACCTCTGGAATCTCAAACACGGCACGATAATGAAACAGATTTAGTTGTCACCAAGTGCTTAATTTGCTATGATATTTTAAAAGAAAATCAATGAAACGATGCCTGTGATTGGGGAATAAGCACAGGTAGGTGTTCTGATGCAGGTTGGCTTTAGAGAGCGTAATGAATTGTAATTCAGAGGAGTGTTAACTGCGAACCGCAGAACCTTTCAGGGGTAATAAAGTCATTACTTTTTACAATGCAGCCGCCTTCAAAAGCTTTATATGTGCCATTAGATATAAATCAACCCCCATATATATATATATATATATCTACATCTCCGCTACAGGCACACACGCCCGTTTCTGTGGGTTTCGCGCAGGGACATGTGCACGCCTGGCACAGCCAGCCCTGCGAGCGGCGTGAGCCCCGGAGTCGCCGCTGCTGTCACCTGCGGCCGGGTCCCCCCGCCACGTCCCACATCTGCTCCCGCACCGCGCCCCGGCACCGCGGGGCGCATCCCCGCGCCCGTCTGTGAGGGAGGGGAGCGGGGGGCTGAGAGGCGGCGGGCGGAGCCGGGGGGGGGGTTGTTTGGGGGGCCAGCTGGCGGGAAGCTGAAACCATCGCATGGCGGAGCGGTCCGGTCCTGCCCGACCCGACCCGGCCTCTGACAGCTCCGCCGGTGCGCCTCGGGTTCGCCTCGCCACCAGATCCCCGCCGAGCCCCGGTCCCCGCCCGCCCCTCGCTCCCCGGGGCGGCCGCGGCTCTGCCCGGCGAAGTGTCTCTTACGGCGGCGGGCAGCTCCTCGCTCCCCCGGGGCTCCCGCCCGGCGCTCCGCTCCGGCTCTCCGCCGCCGTCCCGGGCACGGTTATCCCCTCGCACTCCCTTCGCCGCCGCACTTTGCTCCGCACGCCCGTTCGCCTCCCGAGATTAATTCTACCGCAACCTGATCCCTCGCGGTGCCGGCAGCGCCCGCCTCGCTCCGGGTCCTTTCGGCGAAGTTGCAGCCGCCGCCGCCGCATCCTCCCAACTCCAGCCACTTCTCGGTGCCTCCCGCCGCCTCGGCTCCCCCCCTCTCCCGCCCTCCCCCGGTGCCAGCCCGCTGCCCGCGCCGCCCCGCCGCCGGCAGACCCGCGTTTCGCTTTCGTTCGGAGCCTGTGGCTGCGGGCAGGGCTCGGAGCGCCGCCGGGGGAAGGAGGGGGGCTCCGGGCTGGCGGGCGAGAGCAGCCGGCGGGGAAAGCCGCGAGGTCCCGCCGCCCTCCGCTCCCCCCCGCCCCGCTCCTGCGGCTTCTCCCGCCGTGCCTGCCGCTTCCTCGCCCGCCAAACTCCGCTCGCTGCTCCCCCGCCCGCCCCGGTGCAAGGCCCTCCGCTCCCCGCCGAAGTTTCCCGCGGCCCGGGCCGAGCCCCCGCCATCCCCAGCTCCCCGCGGGGCCGCCGCCGCCGTCCCCCGGGGACGGGCCGCAGCTCCCGGGAGGAGGGGACTCTGCGGCTTCGAGGGGGATGCGGGGGGAGGGGGGGCCGAGCGGGGAAGCCGGGAGCCGGATGCCCCCCCCTGCTTTTTGGGTGGTCTCCGGTCCTACCTGGCTTCCCCCAGCTCCCCCACTTCCTCGGCACAGCCCGCGGCCAGCCTGCCCCGCAGCCCTCTCTGCCCGGCTCTGGCTTCACCGATGTGTTTGCTTTTCCAGCGGGGGTGTGCGTGCGAGAGCTGCCGCTGCCTGCCTGCCTGCTCGCTTTCTCCCGCTCCTTTTCCTCCCTTCTCTCTCCCCGTGTGCGTGTTTAATTTCCCCCCCTCGCCCCTCTCCCGGCTCCCCTCCTGCACCCGCTCCTCTGCGGCCACTCGCGGCTCCGGCCGCCGCCCCCTCCGCCCCCGGCCCCCCGGCTCCATTCGGCAGCGTGCGCCGGGCGGCCGGTGCACCCCCCCCCGCCGCGCCCCCTCCCCTCTCCCCCCTGCGATCACTGTCCATTGGCTTGTCCTGCTCTCTTTTTCATGTCCAGCCCCTGATGAGTGTCCATTGGTGTTGCCTTCGCCTTCCCTCCTCCCCTCTCCCCGGCTTGCCCTGCCCATGTTTTGTATGTCTCTGTCCATCCAGGCTCCTGACGTTCAAGTTCGCAGGGACGTCACGTCCGCACTTGAACTTGCAGCTCAGGGGGGCTTTTGCCATTTTTTTCATCTCTCTCTCTCCTTCTCTCTCTCCCTCTCTCTCTCTCCCTCTCCCTCTCTCTCTTTTTTTTCCTTGCACAAAAAAAAAAAAAAAAAAAAGCCATGACTGCTATCCCACAATTCATCTTCCCTGCGCCATCTTTGTATTATTTCTAATTTATTTTGGATGTCAAAAGACATTGATGAAGATATTTTCTCTGGAGTCTCCTTCCTCTCTAACCCGTCTCTCCCGATGTGAACCGAGCGACTCACAAGCCACCGAAGCCACCAACCCACCATGTCGCGCCGCAAGCAAGGCAAACCCCAGCACTTAAGCAAACGGGAATTTTCACGTAAGTAACCCGGAGAGCAATTTATTTAATTTCCTCTTCACAGATTTAATTTTTAATTTGAGCGAGAGCAGGGAAAAAAGAAATTTTAAAGTGAGAGCGAGTGAGCGAGTCGGGGGGGAAAAAAAAAAAATTAACTCAGCGCCGGCTCGGGATTCGCAGCATTCCGGGTAATTTCTCCCTCTCTAATTTAATCACCTTGATGACTTTTCTTCTCTTTCTGCCCGTGCCCCTCGCCTGCCGGCGCGCACTCCGCTGCCCCGCTCCGCGCTCGCCTCCCGCTCTCCGCGCTCTTTGGCGGCAAGAGCGGCAGCTCTCGCCCCGGCACCGGGAGAGGCGCGGGCGAGGTGCGGGGCTGCCGGGGGCAGAACCGGCCGAAAGTGGGAAGAAATTCCTGCGGGAGCGGCGGGCTGCAAGCCGGACACCCCGGTGGCCGTGCGGGCGGGGAGCTGCGAGGCGAGCGGAGCGCGGAGAAAGTCCGGCGGCCGGAGCCCCCCGGGCTGCCGGCGGGCTCGCCCCCTCGCCCCGCGGCGCCCTCCCGGGGGGGGGGGCCGAGCCGAGCCGGGCCGCGCCGCCTCCCTTTTGTTTCCGCCGCGGGGTGCGGGGTGGCCGTCCCGCCGCCCCCCGCTCTCCGCCGCCTCGGGCCGCCGCCGTGCGGGGCTCCGCCGCCCCGACCTCGCCCCGCGCCCGCCCCGCCGCCGCTCCGGCTGGGGCTGGGGCGGGGGGCGGCACCGGGCGGCGAGGGAGAGCCGAGCCGCGCCGCGCCGGCTGGGATTCCCTCCTCGCCCTCGCCTCGCGTTCTCCCGCTCGTTTACTATTTTTTGGAAGATTTTCAAAAAAAAAAAAAAAAAGTGGAAGTGGATTTTGATTGGGAAAAATCTCGTGTCTGAATGTTTACAAGCACCGCGTGTGCGGGGAGCCTCCTGCCAACAAACACAGGCGAGAGCGAGCCCGGGCTCAGCACACACACACGCGCGCTCACACACGCACACCACACACTCGCACCCTCACACCCGCGAACGGCCCTTTCTCGCCGCCGCATTTCAAGCCCAAACCAAATCCGCTCTCCCCGGGAGAGAAAAAACAAGCCCCGAGCCCCACCACCCCGTTCGCAACAAAAACTCTCCGGCTCCCTCCGTCCCTCCCTCCAGCCGCCACCACACACACCAGGGCTAGATGCAAGATAAGCGGGAGCGCTCTTTGCACAACAAAAGGCAACTCGAGCTGGAAAGGTTTGGGGCGAGGGGGGTGGGAAGGAAGGGAGAGGAAAAAAAAATCCCCTTTTCCTCGGGGTGAGCCGGGGGGAAGGGGAAATGCTGCATGCTTCTCCTCGCTCCTTTCCCCCTCTTCTTTGCTTTTTCTTTATTTCTTCCTTTCCTTTCCCCCATTGCTCCCGGCGGGTTTTGTTCCCTCCCAGGGATGGCAGAAAACCCAGGGCGGTTTCTTCCTGCCAACCATCTCTGGCTCCCTCAGCCTTTCCCAAAACCCCCCAAACTTTCCGCTGCGATTTCTCTCCCCCACGGCCGCCCAAACATTCCAGCCAGGTTCGCACATGGAGCGAAGCAGCGCTGGCTCTTTGCAGACGGACAGGGCCGACCGGAGGCTCTGCCCTGCCCCAAGTTTGCCCTAAAAACCGGGGGGGGGTCTCGGGGGCTCATCCCCTCGCCCCCTCCACCCCCACCCCAGTCGCTTTTCCCCTCTTTCCCCGCTACTTTTCGGGGCGCTTTTTAATTTTGGCTGCCTGGCTGGGCTCGGGGTGCAGCATCACTGGGTTATGGAGGTGCGACGCCCCCCTCGAAATGGGGTACGGGGGGTGCTTTCCTCGGTCGGCCCTGGGAGTGTGGGGAATGGGGGGATCGTGGCGGGACCGGGGAACGGAGGAGGGGGTGAGTGGGCTCCCACTCCCGGGGCAGCCGCGCCGGGCGGGATCCCCGCGGCTGCTCCTCGCCGAGGCACCCGCGGGCCAGCGCGGAGTTCCCGCACGTGCGGGGCGGGAGCGGCGGCCGGGACGGGCCTGGGGGGTCCCTGCGGCGAGAGCCGCCCCGGGGATGGGGAAGGGGAGGGGGTGGGTGGGCCGGCAGACAGAGTGGGGGGAAGGGGAGGCCGGGCCGGGGGAGCGGCGAGCCGGGGGGATGCGGCGGCGGGGCCGGGGCCGGGGCGGCGGAGGCGGCGGGCGGGCTCCGTGCCCGATTCGGTCGCTAGGAGGCACAGCGAGATCAAACAACCGGGCAGCCCCGCGAACTTGAACCTGGCCGGCTCCGCCGCTGCCTCCCGTCCGGCGGGAGGGGGAGGGCGCCCAGCTCCCTCCCCTCCACCCCCCCACGCCCCCCCTCCTTCTCCTTCTTTGTTCTTAATTTTGCGCGGAGTTTGCTTGCTCTGGGAGCTAGCGGGGGATGCTCGCCTTCCCCCTCCCCGGGTTTCCCCTCCCTCCCCTTAACGTGTTGGCGGTTCCCATTGTACCCCCAAGTCTTTCCTTTTCCTTGCACCGCACGATCCCAGGACACAAACTTGGGATTAAACAACCCCTCTGCATCCTTCCCACGGTACGGTGCGGGGAAATGCCCCGACAGCGCATCCGCATTGCCCTGCGGGCATTTCCCCGCACCGTACCGTGGCATTCCCCCCCCACCTCCCCACCCCATCACCCCCAGTACCTCCTTTCTCCCGACACTCCAAAAGCCATCCCGCTTTTGCCGGTGCGGTTGTTTTGGTGACTGAGAACAGGGGGAAGAAGGGGGGAGTAGGAGGGCGAAGGGGGAAAGCTGAAAAGACATGTTGGTGGAAGGGCAATTTGCATGAAAAATAGAGACGGATGATTAGGGACCCAGGCAGGGAATTTTGATTGCCCCAGAATTAAAAGATGCATCCCGCAAATCGGAGGCAAGACCAGGTGAATTGTATTCCGGTGTTTTCTTTGTAATCCCGGTATTTTATATTTTGTTTTAAAAGTAGCAATCATAATAAAAAGCATATTTTTTTGCCAGCTCTGCCTCCATCAGGAGCCAAATGTTTTGCAGTGAACACGGTGCCAGCCGTATTTCATACACTAGTATATAATTCTTGTTAATTAGCAATAATTTACGTTAAGAGCATAGAAAATGTTGAGGTTACAGGTTTTATATCTGTACATTTGATCATCTTGTTATTTTCAAGAACTTTGCCTCCTATAAAATTAATTAGGTGAAATGTGGAGGTGTAATCAGCAACCTCTGAATTACCACTTCATTTCCTGGTTTTGATTGTAAATCAGCCCAGTCCGTACAGACTTTTAGCAAAGTCTATTTTTGCTCAGCGTTACTTTTAACTGTCTGGTGTCGAAGCAGCGGGTTACCTTCCCCTGCTAAATAATAGTGACAGCGTCAGAAAGGAATCAGGCCGCGGGAAAACATTATAATTGAGTAATGATTATGCAGAGCTCCTCGCTAAGCCAGTTGCGAGGGGAATACGAGTGATTTTGTGTCTTCTGCTGCCGAGGGGTCGCTGAGCTCCAAGTTAGATTCGCAAAATACCTTTGTCTGCGGCGTGCAGCGAGCTACCGGTGGAATTAGTCCCGCAATAATTTACTCCCTCGGTCCGAACGCAAGGAACGGCTGGGGAGGGAAAAACGCCGTGCCCGGCAATCCCGCAGAAACACCCTGCTCCTCTCCCAGCTTCCCGAGGAGCGTGAGAGACGCACGTTGTGCCTCTTGCTCCTGCCGGTCTGCAAGTTTAGGAGGAAAACCCCAGTGATTAAAACATTGTTTTTATTAATGCGAATGTAACCTTCATATTCCTGTGGTTGACCTTACGTTAAATTAGAAGTAGTACTAGAGGCAAGAAATGATGGACTGGATCCCTGTGTCCTAGTTGGAGCTGAGGTACGGCGAGGTAGTGTGCTCTTTCAGTATTATTTTACGCAGCACAACTGGGAGCTACTCCAGATCTTCCTCCTCAATATTCAGCCTAGGTAGGGTTGAAATAAATTTAACCTGAGTTCACTGGATTTTTGCACTTTATCAAAATCAGTTCCAATATCGTGCAGTCAAATTAAAATCTATTTTTTGATTCTCTGTGGCTTTAAGTTCATTAAATGTGAAATTGGCAGCCAGCTAAAGAAGGTCAGGCTGATTAACTGTTTAGGAGTTGTATTGTGTCTCTCTCGCATTACCTGGCAGTGTTTTGAGGTGGGTTGTATTTGTAGTACCCTCTCCCCCTGCTCGCTGCTGTTAGCGTGCGTGTTGTATTGCACAGACAGAGGAACACCAACACGCTGCTGGTATTTATTTTTTTTTTACCTCGTGAAAGGCAATAGTGATGGAGACTGCACAGAGATTGCCAAGGTATTTCTCTGCAAATTTAACCTAAAAAACAGAAAAAAAATCCACAACAGAAAAGAGAGCCACGTCTGCCTCGTTAGAACATCCACTGACGATTCTGTGAGCAGAAATAGCCTCATAATGAAGCTTTTTGGAGCTCATTCAGAAAATTTGTCAACTTTGACAACATTAGGCAAGGTATTTTGAGTTTAAGGAAGGCGCTTCTCACTGTTGCGAGGAAATGTGGCAGTTGCTTGGCCAGGCTGATTTTTAGATGCTGAGGGCCACCAGTACTAACACGCTCAAGATAATTTTGGCATTCCCTTATTTCAGGATTAGAAAGCACAAAATGACTGATTGCCTTGTTTCCTTAAGTACTGAAAAATATCCCATCCATTTAATATCTCTGGGTGGACTCGGTGGTGAATTTGCTATTTATTTGAATCCTGAGGAGTAGCTGAAAAGTGAGAGGTGCCTCCCCCCCGCCCCGCAGGCATTTCTGCTGCACTTGCTTTTTATCATTTCGGTTTCTGCCATTTATTTATCTATCTATCTATTTATTTATTTATTTATTTGCCTCATGCCCTCCCTCCCCCGCGAACAACTACTGCCTTTAGATTTTTTTTATTTTTCAATTGGAAGCCGCAAACAGGCCAACAGGGACGGTGGCACAGATCCATACGTATATGTGTGCACGAGTGCTCTGAGGGGCTGTGTGTGCCCCGCGTGTCGGTGCCTGGGTGTGTGTGGCCATGCGGGCTGGCTCTCCCTCTCTTGTCTTTTCCACATATACACACACACACACTTCCTGCACGGCCTGGACAGGGAATATGCAATATCTGTGTACATTCGAACACCTTTTGTCTGCGCTGCATTTCGGGCTTCTGAATTTCAGAAAGTGGGTCTGGCTCGTGGAAGATACACACCCATGTGGTGTGAGAGAGAGACAGAGAGAGAGTGTGTGTGTGTGTGTGTGCAGTGCTTTTAGCCTTGAATTCATATACATAAATAATGCATCCAGCAATAAAACACCGTATTCGTAGTAGCACAAGAGTTTCGCAGTTATTCCAGCCTGTTCGTTTAATTTTAGCACCGAATCGTTTGGCGAGTCAGAAATTTGCCCTCGTGTAGGAACACGGGGACAGTTGCGGTGCTCGCCTCTCCCGAGTTCTGTGTGCTACAGCTTCTTCTGCCAAACCTCTTCCCTGTAACTGATGAATCCATCTCCTCGCTGCCGTGCTGACAGGCCGTGTTGCGTGGCTTTAGCTTGGGGGGGAGCAGGCGGACGTGGAGAGCGGGGTGTAATATTCATGAAGAGGGGGCTCGGCGCGTTCCTCCCCCCGCGCCCGGTGCCTTTCCTGAGAGCTCTAATGATTCTCCTTTTGTTTCTCAAACTGCAGCCGAACCTCTTGAAGCCATTCTCACTGATGACGAACCTGAACATGGCACATTGGGAGCTCCGGAAGGGGACCACGACCTCCTCACTTGTGGCCAGTGTCAGATGAACTTTCCGTTGGGGGACATTCTTATTTTTATTGAGCACAAACGGAAACAATGCAATGGCAGTCTCTGCCTAGAGAAGGCTGTGGATAAGCCACCTTCACCCTCACCAAGTGAGCTGAAAAAAGCATCCAATCCCGTGGAGGTTGGCATCCAGGTTACGCCAGAGGATGACGATTGTTTATCAACGTCATCTAGAGGAATTTGCCCTAAACAGGAACATATAGCAGGTAAATTAAAGCAAGGAGAAGCGTTTGCGAGTTTATTTCCGTTTCAGTTGCAAACGTAGCGTGTTGGCAGTTGCGAACTGCCGTGTCTGTCTGTGTTCTGCCCACCGTGACGGCCCGTGGCGTGTTCAGTACCCTCCCTTCCTTGGGTTGGTGGCGAGCGGTATTTCCTAGTGCCTGCGCAGCGGCAGGAGCAACAGGCACGTGCCGTGCCAGCCGGTGTTTCCAGTGGTATTGTTTGAGGCCGCTCTCGTGATTTGCCTGTATTGTAGCCACCGTCTCCCGGTGTCTCTCCTGCCGTAGCGCCTCGGGAGGAGGTTTCAGAGCCTGCCGCGCGACAGAGCGAGGAGCTTTCGAGTCTTTGGCAAAGTCAGGGGTGAAAGAGTTAACCGAGCATCAGCCAGCCTTGGTTCCATATTGGCTGTCAGCGTATGGACTGTAATTAAACACAGCCCCATGGCAAAGTGACACCACCGACCTTGACTTTAAGATGCCATTTTCGACTGGCCAGGCCAGAGTAGAGAGGGCAGTTGCTGAAGCGCACAGACATGCTTATTCGGAAAGTTTAAGGGCATGTTGGAAATTTCAAAAGGTTGGTTTGACAGGAAAGGCTGCTCTCTGCAGCCTGCCTCCTCAGCCAAATGATAAATGCTTCGCTGTGCTCTCTCTTGTCTCTGATGTGGTTTTGACAGATGTATCTTGATTTTGTTTGCGGTTTACACAACCACATGTCAGCCGTACAAATGTCCAAGGCAGAGTTCTGGTTTGTGCAACAAACAATATGAAATGTGATTTTTAAAAAAATAGGGTGAATAATACCATTTCTTAGAATCTGTGGTTTGGTTTTTTTTTTTTTAAAAAAAGGAGAGCCATTCGCCGTGCAGATATTTTCACAAATGAGGTTAAAAAAATAAAGTGTACCATGTGAAAGAAAATCCCAGAGCCCTGGGAGTGTAACAAGGCACGCTCTGCTTTTAAAATCCTGCTAGTAAACAAAAGTACTACCCATTTGCAGCGAGCGTTGCAAATCACTTCAAACCGCGCCAATACTGCTGGTTGAAAAAGGCGAGACCACAGCCCATCAACACCAACAAATGCCTGAGCCAGTTTCAAACTCCCCTCCAGCGGTGTTTGGGATGTGGCACTGCCGGTACCTCTCTTCTGGGAGCCCACAGGACCGCTCGGGGTTGTCAGAGGCACAACACATCATCACATGATGTGCTGGAGCTTGTCTTGGGCTTGCTTTGGCCACAAAGTTAAACCATAATAGGGCAGTAGGCACAGGGAGGTTCAGTGTGATACTCCTGCAGCCTCCCTGGCTTATCCGAGCCGGCCGTCAGATCATGCCGGAGAGCTGGAGTTTTGGAGGTTTTGTGGTGGCAGCAGATAAGCGTTGGGGTGTGTGTCTGTCTGTGTGCAAAGCCGTGTGCGCGCACACGCGGACGTCATGCGAGCGAGTCTGTGCTGTTTCTGCAGAGTAGTGGGTATTTCTTTGGAACGTGAATATCTGTACATTTAAGAGGAAACAGAGGCTCAGCTGCTGCTAAGCTGCATTTTGAATGAGACTTAAACCCCCCAGCAATTCCCCATATTGCTCTTCCCAGACGTGGATGTTGAAGGTTGAGTTTTTTTCCCAGAGTGGCAGAGGGCAGTGCCCATTTCCATGTGCTGCCTGCGATCTGACGGGAAACGAGCAGAAGCGTAGGGCATGATTAATGAAGCAAGAGCCTGGCGGAAGGGATTTGTAGTCTTCCGAGCTCTGGAGCCATCCTAAATCACCAAATATGGAGGAGCGGCGGTGTGATGTAACGCTGTATTTACGTACGGCGCCGCTCTGCTGAAAAGACAAAACACAGTGTCTGTCAAGCAAGAATTAAACATAACTGTCCTCCCCGTGGTCCCAAATAGGTCCTTGGGCTGGAGGGATGGACACGCCAGGGGAGTTCTGCGTGAGGGGAACTCCCTCCACTGGGGATTTTGCGCTGGCATTTGGTTGGCGCGGGAGACTCGGCGAGCCAAGTCTCGTTTTGCGTGGCACGGGTGACGCGAAGCGGGAAGGGTTGGGGCTCTTGCGTTGTCAGGGGGCTGTTAATTCTGAAAGGGCCGTGGTTTTAACTGACTGTAAATGGTTTGGTGAGCAGAGGCAGTGGGTGACGGGAGGTGCACATTGGCAGGGGCCTGATCCTGCTTGCTCTTACTCGTTGGGATCACCTTTGCTCTGCGGGTAGGCCCGGCTCAGAGTGGGCTCGGTGCCGGGCAGGAGGGTCTGTGGTCATGAGTAGAGACCAAATTGCAGCTGTCAGGGCTCTCCTGCCCCAGGTTTTTTGTGTGGTGGTGCCCAGGATGTCCAAGAGTGCAGGTCCTCTGCACCTCCTTGGCTCAGCCAGAGGCAGAGGATACTTGGTTGTTCCTGTTGGTTGGAAATGCAGCCTGGCTGTGGGAAGGGGAGAAGGTGCATCAGGAGTTATGGGGTCTTACACTATCCCTACCCTTCGTGTTTTCATCTCCCCTTTCACCTGGATGAGTTCAGATCCCTTGTATCACGGAGAAGAGTGGTGATAACTGGAGTAACCCCTTGCTTTTAGCCAGTAGTTTGTGGGATCTGGCAGTAAAATTACCAGTGAGGGTCTTGGAGCCTGAGCTGTGGAGTTCAGGCTTCTGGAATGCCCCTGCAGTGAACCTCAGGCTCTTCCAATCCTCCTGTTTTATATCTGATTTCTGTGCGAGAATGCAAAAAGCAGAAGATAGGAGTGTGTAATTAAAAAGACCAAAAAAGACAGAGGCTGCCTTTAGAAAAACACACAGAAGTTGGGGAAGTGATTCTTTGTGGTAAGAAACCAGAAAGTATGTATTTTGTAGCAGTGTAAAAATGTTCCCAATTAGTTGTGAGGCTGAAAGACACGTTCCAGGTTAGCCCTGGATACAGAGGTGCTGTGGGTGAGCTCTGGGTGTGGTATGTGCTCTGCCTGCAGTTCTGTAGTCAGTAACTTGGGGTGTTACAGTAAAATATCATCTGAAGATGAGGAATGGTTAAGGATCCAGGCGAGGAAGGCAGGCAGCGAATCATCCAAATGCAGGGAGAAATGATGTCTGTTTTAAGCGTCGCTAGGCTGCTCTTTATCCCTGCCGTTTTCCAGAGGCAGGGATGAGAACAGGAGCTTATGTGTGTGTGTGCAACCCGTGCAGGAGCCGTATGGGTGCAGGCATGTGTACGTACCTGGCTCTTCCATGTGGGCGTCTGCCTGCCCGTAGCTCTGCCTCGCTGTAAAAATTTTGAGTGATGCTGATCCTGCGCTGGAGCTGAAATGCCGTAAATTTAACTGAAAATTAATAGGATATGTTGTGTGGGTCCAACGAGGCAGCTTTCATCAATATGTATGTCAAAGCCTCACCACCAGATACCGGCAGCCCGTGATTTGCAGTGAGGGCGACGGCCGGGCTTTAGTTATCCGCTCTCGTATTTTACAATAGGGGGGGAAATATTAACTGAAGTATCTGGAGATCAGTGGATGTAAAATTGCTGTTCACTTAATTGAAAAAAAGGCTGAAGAAATATTTATCGTCCGCCCGTGTCAGGTTTTAGGGGTTTGTTTGCTGAATGTATAAATCCGAGGGAATTAGTGAAAGGTTGGGGTTTTGGGTGAGGAAGGATCTTAAATGTTACTTGGATGCAGTTGGAGGAACACTTTGGAGTGCTGCTGCGTATTCCCCTGTATAATGCCGAGTGTGCATCCGTGGATGCTGTATTTACTGTACAAAGAGGGGAGGAGGAGGGGAGGTCATTTTTTTCTGCTCGAATCCGATATTCTCGAGCTGCTCGTGGCATTCAAATAAAACACGTGGGAAAATCATGTAAGAAAACCCTCTGTCTGCAGCAGTCGGGGGAAGGTGGACGTTATTTGGTACTAAATTTCAGACCGAGCATATTGGATTTTTACAGTTCTCAGGAGATAATGTCTTTGAGCAGAAATTTTCTTGGGCTGTTATTAGTAGTTGCCATTATAATTCTGTAGGTTTTTAATGGTGATTCCTTATCTTGTTTTGTTCTGGAGGCATAAAGGAAAAAATATTCCTGTCTGCACTGAATAGTGATCATTGGATTTGGACAATAAGATGAAAGCTTAAAGATAGAGAGGGGGGAAAAATGGGCAATATGGGCATATTTTGGAGTCAGATTCTATCTGCTTTCCCCGTACAAACAAACAGAGGGCACAGGCTGGGTAAAATATTGCAAGCAGGAAAAATAGTGAGAGTGCTGCCCACAGGCTCCCGCTCCCGAGATCCTGGAGCGCTGCGTGCAAGCTGTATTTGTAAATAAGACAGAGAAAGGTTGTGAACCGGCAGCTTGGCTGTTTTGTCGAAGTACAATGTCAGAGAAACTCTTTCTAAGACAAATTGTAAATAGAAGTGTCATGATGATTGCATGATTGAGCTCTAGAAGTGTCTTGCAATTGTTGGCATTGTCAGAAGACTTTTGAAAGCTTAATTAAAGGCGGTGGCCTGCGCGGCTGTGAAATTTACTTCTCGGGGGGCGGGGGGAAATGTAAAAAATGTAGGGGATCAAAAAGTTGCTGTAATGCTGCTCGTGTGGGGATGCAGAGAAGAGTCAATAGTTTCCCTGCTTTCCCCATTCCCTTTTATAAATAACGTTTTTTTGAAGAAGCAAACACGTGACATCAATATCATCCTTTGTACGAGGTAAAGATTGTGTTAGTTTTCCTATTCCCTGCTGTTCCAGACAGTTAATGTAAAAATGGCTCTTTATTGGAAACACAAATACGAGTTCACTTGCAGCACAGAAGCAGGGTAGAAACTTTCCCTCTGCCTCAGCAAGAGCCTTCCATGGGAGCATCAGAGTGTTGCGGTGCCCTGAATATTTCTGGTTTGGTTTGGGGTTTGGTTTTTTTTTGTTTGTTTCTTTGTTTTTTGTTTCTTGGAAATCAGATCTTCTGGTTTAGAGGATGGGAAATACATTTTGCATGTGGGACGGTGAGCTCCCCACGAGCAGGAGCATCGCTGCATCCAGATT